GCTCTGTTCATGTTTCAACCGATTATTTGGCATGCTTTAAACTTTGATGTCGGGCCCCCATGTTTACTTACTGAGATATTTTTATCTCACGGTTTCCTTATCCACCATTTTAGGTAGTGAGACTCGACGCGTGGGAAGCCCGGGGGAGTGACGAGCTAGACGGCTAGGCACTTTTGGACTTAGGTTTTTTGTAGCTAAGCCGTTAGTCACCCATGCTTGACTTAGAAATTTTTGTGTACAGAACTCCCTTAGTTATAGTCACGACTGTGTAAATGAAGTTATAAATCCTTGTACATTTTGACAAGTAAATAGTTGGAAAGGAAAAGAAATTAGATATTACCTGAGTTTCTAAATCTGAGTTAGTGATATGAACTTAGTAAGTTCCGAGCCTTGTGCATTTGTGGGACCCCCTCACAAGTGCACGGCGTCTGCCACGTCCCTGGATTTGGGTTCTGGGGCGTGACAGATTTTGTGGTATCAGAGCCTAGGTTAATTTAAGAGCCTAGGTTAATTTAAGAGCCTAGGTTAATTTAAGAGCCTAGGATTAGTCTAGAACTTGGCTAGCAATGAATGATAGGAACGTGGTGAGGTATGAGAGTGGGGTTGATTAAAGGCGCTTGTTTGATTCCTTCCTTAATATGGGTTGGTTTCTTTTGTTTTGATACTTTTGTGCTGCTTAGTCCCGGAAGTGGAAACTTGCCGGGAAATTTCTCGTTGGAGCAATTGATTAATAGTCTATAAACCATCAACGGCCCAACGTCCTCGTCCGGCTCAGCTTACTTGCCACGTTTGTGGGAAGGTCGGGCACACTCGGGATCAATGCCACACTATTATTGGGGTTTGCTTCAAATGTGGCAAGCAGGGACATCAGATTGCAAATTGCCCACTGCTAGACCCCAAGACTCAGGGCACTCAACCTACCTCTCCACAGAGTTCTACCAGTCAGGGGGCGCAAAAACAGAGTACCAGGGTTCGAACAAGAGCCCAACAGGCGAGGGTGCAAGTGATGACTCACAAGGAAGCTGCGGCTACTGATGTAATCACGAGTACCTTGCCTATTAACTCTGATTATGCGCATGTTTTATTTGATTCGGGTGCATCGCACTCTTTTATTGCTCGATCTTATGTTTTGAAATGAGCCTTGCCTGTTGATACCTCTGATTGTGAACTACATGTGGACACCCCTTTAGGAGGGGTGATGACTATTAGGGAGATGTGTAGGACTGTAGATATTTATATTGATGGTAGACAGTTGAGTCATAGTTTGTTTGTTTTATATATCTCCGACTTTGATATCATTTTGGGGATGGATTGGCTGTCAAAACATTTTGCCTCTATAGACTGTCATCGGAAATGGATAATTTTTAATATTCCTAGCGAGCCAAAATTTAGTTTACAAGGCAGTGGTTCTTTTGCTCCACCCGTGTTAGTATCTGCCTTGCAGGCTCAGAAATATCTTGTAAATGGTTGCCAGGGTTTCCTAGTCTCTGTTACTGATGCTAGTAGTGTGACATCGAGACTAGAAGACATACCGGTAGTGCATGAGTTTCCGGATGTATTTTCGGAGGATTTCCCGAGTTTACCTCCGGATAGAGAGGTTGAATTTGCTATTGACCTTGTTCCTGGCACCGGACCCGTTTCCAAAGCACCATACTGTATGGCTCCTGCAGAATTGAAGGAGTTAAAGGTCCAGTTGGAGGAACTCCTTGAGAAAGGGTTTATACGCCCTAGTGTATCACCTTGGGGAGCTCCAGTGTTGTTTGTCAAGAAGAAGGATGGGAGCATGAGGCTATGCATTGATTACCGGGA